GTATGGTTCGGAGAATCATATTCAGATGCTCGTTTTATAGGCGGTAGCTCAAGGCGCCAGAGCAATAATGTCCTTTTTAGTTCTAGACTTAACAAATGCGATCTTTATGCTCAGGTATGCAACACGGACGTCAGATAAGGCCAACATAGACTAGGCATTGCTATAAATATCCATCACCTCACACATGATTCCCACACACCGATCAGCCTACAATCCTTGGAGTTTGCCACCAACAGCAAATTCTGTGCTACTGACATTTCTCAGTTTCTTTATGAAAATATACCGCTATATCTTGAATGTTTTACCCAATAAGGTCTGAGGTGGCTACTGTGCAGCCTATTCAACCGGAGGATATCAATAATGAGAGATTCAGGCGGGTCTACCGTGGAAAACCAAAATGATATGCAATGTATTTAGTGGCTCTATGTTGTTTGCCTGAGAGAATGAGCTCCATTTCTCTCGCGACGTTCCCGGAAACCAAAACCCGCCACTGTACATGTCCCCGTAGTGTGAAGCAAAATTTCCAACTTCACAAAAGAAGAGATCATTGCGTTCGTGTATCAGTCGCCCCGATAGCTCTACTGTCCTTGTTAGCAAGGTTGTGAAAAGGGCTTTTAACTGCTTGATCCTAATTGTCCTCCCTTCCAGCAGCCACTTTTGAACTCTTCTCATTTCAGAGAGGCTTGGTAAACAACCGGTTGTTTTTAATGGGAGGACGCTTCGAGTTTGACGGAAAAGCCACACAAGGCCAAGTGAGCAAGCCACCAGATGGGCCGGATTATCAGGCAAGACGGGGAACAAATCAGTATTATTTTTTCAGAATGACACTAGATCAGCGTGGAGTGTCGATCAACGGCTATCGTCGGTTAGTGTAGTTGCCAAAATTTTTATTTTAATAATAATCTTTATTCCCAATTGGTGGGTACCATACCATCAGTTAAGGTCATGTTACAGTCAGAATTAGAGCATGACTGACGGGGTTGTGAGCAAAGGGGGTTAGGAAACAGGCCAGCTTCATAGGGGGTGGGCATTACTCGATGAAGGCGTTTTCGCCACTAAACCAGCACGGGAAGGGGAGCACAGATTATGCGTTTTGGAGAGAATATTGAGCTACATCGGACCGTTAGGATTTGAAGGTGGCGGGCAAAAAACAAAGCAAAGGAGGGCAAAAAAGAGGCACTCTTCCTGACGCTTGACAGGAAAGGTATAACGGTGAAAAATGAGGAACCAAAACATCAGATCGGGTGGGGCATCAGATTTGTCATCACCACGGCGGTAATACTGAGCCTAAAACAATCGCCAAAGCCTCGTGGCCTTGAACTGTTGAGCTCATGGCTAGGTTCACAAAAGGCGTAAGTAAGGATGGTCAAGTGGAAGGATTGGCAAAGGGAATAAGTGGTAACAGAAAACCCGGAAAAAATGGTGTACGGCGAAACTATGGACTCACCGGCGTCGCTGTTGGGGAGTCAGGCATAAAAGTTCCTTGTAATTAATGGGAAAGAAGAGCTTCAAATTAGTTCCGATCGGCTCTTGTGCCCGAATCTTCTACTTCAGGGTGCTCCACTGATAATCCACTGCGGGTGCCACTGGTAAATTTTTACTGTTTTCCGTGGGCTTAAGAGAGTTGTGGCAATTCATTTGGGGGCAGGAGAGGTGGGTGAGGTTATGTTGACTGCAGATGATGACTGCTCCTTCTTCTGATAATCGCACACCTACACTCGTTAGCTCCATTGACCCAAGACCGTTTTTCACACGCTTGCCAGTTCCACGCTTTCTATTATGATAACACCGGAATACTTGGAGATTCCTACAGCCTCAATTATCACTCTCCGTGACGTGGACCGTTTACCTTAAAAGCAATTCCCATATGAAAATTATCCTAGTTATAGAATAAGAATAGACTGTTTCTCATCCAGGTATACTGAGAATCCGACAAACCGCTGATCCCCTCAGTTAAAATCTGTTAGGTAAAAAAAGAGACGGAGGAAAGAGGCTGAGAAAGCAGGCCAATCTCCTCGCCCACTCGGCCATTGTCTGTCGTGTGCGGCAGTAAATCTAGACACCACGCAAACTTAACGCATTCTCTCTTGGTGGAAAGAACTAAATGCGGAAATTCGTTAACGTCACATTACGGTATCGAATTAGGATGCAAGATAGTAGGTTTTATGTTACCTCACGTAATAATACGCAATAACCCCCGCGACTCACCTACTGAATACTCTTCTGACGAGCCGTCCTCAGCTTTTTCCACCATAGCGTAGAGTCGAGCAATTTTTAACAAGCCTAGTTGAAGCATTGGTAGGAACGGACGCGTCGTCTGTTTTTTCTGACATTATCTCGCTTGAGTGGGTGGGCTTGCTTATTTGTTTTTTAGTCCAGCACCAAGCCAGCACCAAAATTGTTCTTGTTCCACATGTCTTTCTCTCCTGTCTGAGGGCTGCCTGATCGTGCACGCGCGATTCGATACAAACAGCAAGGCAGATGTTTGAATAAGATCCCCTCACCTCATGTGTATGGCCGAACAGCGCAAGATTTCCACTGGGTATTCACAGGGTTAAGATTTCACTAAGTACACACAGTATGAAGGAGCTAACATTCTGGGGGCGTGAGATGAAAGTTTTGGCTTTGCATTCTGGACCATCATTTGAATTAGTATTATTCTTTCGAATAAGAGCCTCCTTTCACCGTTAAACAATGAATGTCTGTTCTAGCAGTGGGTATCCTTTTCAGATCTGTGATAAAACCTCTGCAATCACGATGCCAAGATAAGCATACCTTCTCACGACTTTAGCTGTTTTTCGGTAAAACATCGCGAACCACATGGCTTAAAACTGTTCAGTATCGGGCGATTCGAGATTTGGTGATGGGTCATCAACAGGGTTGTCCTGTTTGGAATCTATCAAAGGATGGTTTTGAAATTACTGGACGTATGTTTTTGTTAGCTTAACTCGCAGGCAGTCCTTAAATGGTTCACCGATATGATGCAATGCAGAAAATTTTCTGCAGATGACGACATACAGGCAACTGGGATTATCAAACATCGATGCTAGAGTTTCTGTTTTCTTGTAACATCATAGGTAAGCCCTCCTGTTTACTGAACATTACGTTCACCCGCTCAGAAGGGGTGTTGAATATTCAGGCGCTTCTGCCCCCGTAGCTAAGGTCATCAATAAACCTGCAAAAATAAAACTGTTTTTGTCCACAAGCTCAGCCAGATATCAACCGGGAAATCTAGACTGATCAATCAGGGCGGACACTCAATGGAAATAAAATACGTTGAACAGATAGCGGATATTTGTGACTGTACCGATCGTTTCGAATTCTTGTGCAACGAGCGCCAACGTTAGCCACCAAACCGGCAAAACTCCGAACAAATGGCCATGCAAATGTGCGGTACTATAAAAGTGAAAGTAGTTACATGGAATACAAAACCACAAACCTCAACGTTTTTCGGCAAACGGTGAGGTACTCCAAAAGGCAAGCAAAGATGGTATGGATCAACAGTCACAAGTGTGATCGAAAGCGGGCCACAGACTCATGCATTAAAAAATTTACAGTTAACCAAGCTTTTGGTACAAAAATAGTATAACCGAGGCGGTAAAAACGATTTGTCCAGTAAGGAAAATGGAAAATACAATGTCTTTTTTAAATGAAAATAGGATTCAACCACACCAGTCCAAAAGGGTGCGGTCCATCTGACTTGTTGACCGGGAAGGCAGTCATTCAAGAAGGGAGGCAATTTTAAATATATACGAAGTTGTAATAGTAACCTTATTGTTGAGGTAGCCCAGTTTCTAAAATGTGGCGCTGCAACCCTACTGTTTTTTTAATTTCATCGTCGCCGACGACAGTGCGACAAAATCTTTTACGGTTTTTGTAAGTTCCGGACGGTTAAGGATCTCACAAGACGATTGCGACTATTGGATTATACGCAGTTCGCGGCTAGTAGTCAATAGGAGCAGACGGGCGTGGGGCGACAGATGACATATTGAGGACTGACAGGAACTGATTCTACAGACAAACGGATTAGCAAGCATCGTGAATTAAGCAAACGTACAATCAACGATGACGCAATCAGTAGGAGCGGAAAGTAGTCACTGACGCAGCACGAATTTCAATAGGAGCACCAGTTAGTAAGTACCATACAATATACAAACATACATATAGGGGCAGTCTGACAGTGTGGATTGGCCGTGATGGCGCAGGAGTCAGTACGTTCGGGATGTGGGGGACTGTCTTTCGGTCGGCGGACGCGTTCGCCTGCTGTCCGCAGACTCTGGGTTCGATACCCGGGAGGCGCGCTTTTCGGTCGGAGTGGGCGCTCGTGAATAGGTGCAATCGAGGCGAACTTGCAGACAATGACAGACGGTTAACAAATATTGACATCAATTACCGAGGGATAAGCAGACCTTAAGTGGGAACAAAGTGGGGGAAAACGAGCAACAAGAAAACGAAACGGTGCCATAATAAACAGGTGTAAGTCATGTTACTCATAAGTAGTCAGAAAACAAGGAAAGTTACCCTTGTTCACCGTTGATTCACAGGGGGGATCAACAGTTTTAATGCCTAAAGGCCGAAAAGTACGATTGCTTGTGTGACTTCTGACAGTTGAGTCGACGAAAAGCCCAATTACAGAAAGAAACGGTGGGGAAGCTCGCATTGGATATAGGTTGTCCGATCTTTAGCAGTACTGCTATGTGCAATAATCCAATTAATATTTTCATCGTTAGTGGAAGTCCGCGATCTCTAGTCAGCGCAACCAAGCGTAGCCATCGTTGACCTTTAACTTCCGATCCTTTGTTCACTGTCAACATTATCCTATTCGGCGACGAAATTAAAGTATCTGCTGTCCTGTCAACAGTTTTGCAGGAGACAACGGGTGTTGCGGACCTCACAGCGCTTGATGATCTCAAAGATTTCACCAAGCAGTGTGAAGATAAGTGTGTGCATTGCCCATATACAACTTAAAGTATCAACAGCTAATTAATTTCACGTACAGCCTAGCCGTCACCCGTTAACAGCGTTCTGCTGGAACTAGGTTCGCTTGTGGCGTGGACGACTTCAATTAGTTGTCCGCGGTAGTTCAGCCAGGACATCACGCATTCAAAACAATGGTCTGGCAGTTGCAGGTTCCCCAAACGGTGTCTTTGTGCCTCCTCAGGAAATTTCAAAGCCACCCTAAAATACTGCGATCCAACCTGGTTCAAGTACCGGAAGTCTGCTGGACCCCGCAAACGGCCAAGCTCATGCACGTTGCCGCGTGGCGGACATAAATGCCTTACTAATGAAGCGGATGGCTCTGAGTTAAAACGTTCTGGCTTGGAACATGAGTATTTGTATGGTAGGGTCAAATAGTTCCTCGGATGCATGTTGCATACAAGTCAACAAATAAACATATAATATTTGTTCGGCGAGTGTCTTAAAAATTATGCAGTATCCCGCGGAAACCCGGCCTGCCGGCTTGGTTGTTTCTGTCTTGATATCCCTTCGGGGTGCACGGCTGTTCCCCGGCTGGTTCAAGGCTGCCCACCAAGATGACCATTATTCCTTTCCTGGCGAGTGGTGGACCGATACATTTGCTAGCCGCATCAGGTTGTAGCCCACACCACGTTCCAACTCTCTGAGTTGGGCTACACCCGAGTGGACAATCATGTCTAACTGACTGACGCAGGATTTTATGCGCAGTTGTCCTTGTGGGTTAATTTGCGCTTGCCTATTTAGTCAACAAGCGCTTTGTTTGTTACGACCCAGAAATTTAGCACTTTTCACATTCTGCCTGTTTTATCTTTTTTTCTCACCAAATATCTAATAGGAATTTTTATCTTGTACCTATAAGAATTTTTAATAAAGAAATCAGTCTGCTCCGATGGCAAATAAGCTCGAGTCCTGTCAGCCGGAGCCTGAATCCGATGCCATCCGGCTAATCGAAATTCTGACCCATATGTCAATCACGTGACCTGAGCAACAGATGTAATTTTACCGAAACAAAGGTACTTAGGACTTCTAACTGTGTAATCCCATATTTTGCAGAGTGTGTATATTGTACCAAACATGCGGTCACGTCGATAATTCTCTGCCTCGTCTGTTCGGCCGACCCTATAATCTGGTTTATATAATTTGGAAATAATCCACTTGGTACGTCGCGAACTTCTCTGTAGTCCAGTTAGACGTATTCAACGACGAAATTTAAAACTTTCCTTGTAACCGTATCCTTACATATTGGCTGCAAGGGGCCTCCGTTCACCCTAGCCTGCAAGAGGACCTGTAGAAAACCTCATGTTGATTAGTCAGGGAAGTGTAATAGAAATAAGCGCTAATGAGCAGCATTAGGAAATATATTTTTCGCTGTTGTACACTTATATCTAATTGTGCACGTGCAGGTGCATTCAATACATAAATATTCCGGTTTACAGTGGTTTTAATAATAACAGATTCATCGATGAACTATATGAAACATTATAGTTTAGGATGCTTATGGCTAACCGGTCAAATATCCTGGACCCATCCATCGATCCAAGAAACTTTAAACTTTTGTGAAGCAGGGACAAGCAACTTTAATGTTAATGGACGCATCCGTGCATGTGACGTGGAATTACGTTCAAGGCAATAATAAACCCAGAAGGCTGGTTGAATTGCTACTCAAAACATGCCCCGGTAACACATCATTCTGCAACATTCACCGCAAAGTAATTCCTTGCTGCCCTTACACCTACTTTTTAAGTGGATGCATGATGGCCAAAAATGTCACCCCACACCGTGGGAAAAACCTTCGACCGCATGGGCTGTATCGAGGAAAACGTTTTGCAAGGAAATCTACAAAAGAACGGCCGTCTGACATGGGAACTTCGAACAGAGTCTCTTAGAGCAGCGGCAAGCATGGGTGTTAATTCGGAAAAGAATAATACTTCCTTGAAAATAGCATTAGAGGACACCTGGTGGCAAACCTCAAACGGCAACTGGCCATAATTGTCGGCCACAAAACTTAGAGCACTCAAGTCTCGAAACGCCACACTGGCCACCTGCTGTGTGCAGCTTAGGAAACACATCGGTTGGCCTGCAGTTTGTTAGATCATTTGTAAAATGGTTCACTATGACTCTCAAAGAATCTTGGAACACATACCAATCTATCCTATAGACTCAAACTAGTGGCTTGGCTACAGCCTACACAACAGCGTCAGAGGCTAAAAGACATGCGTCGGTTTTAGATAATTCCTCAGACCTCAGACAATTATCCACTGTTTTGACATGCAATCAGATTCTTCAGAATACAGGATTCGACAACCGGGCTTTATGTGCGCTCGAGT